CGCAGCTAAATCTGTTGCGTTCTGTTGTCAACGTTTTGGTATCGACGAAGATCGTTTGGCCGAAACGTTGACCACATATATCTTTATTTTTTCCCTCTAACAGCAATTTTAACTATTTATTTTTGTTTTCAGAAGTTATCATGCTATCAGTACATTTATATGTTAAATTAAATAGTAGTTGTTTATTTTACATTATATATGTATACTTACGTTCTAAACAGGAATGAGGCGACGCCTATTGTGAATTATGGATACTGTTTCATATAGATCTGCCTGAGAGCTAAGGATTAATCTAATGAATATTATTGATAGCGTAAACATAGAGAGCATGATCAGTGTATGAAAATGTGAATCTACTTGTTGTTTATTTGCTGTTATTACATGGTAAATATTAAGGTTCGATACTTACCCCGATTCACATCACATAATCTCTCCTTACCGAAGGTAGTGTGTGTAAGTTCTGCATTACAAAATATACATGTCGTTGAATATTTAGGTAGGAAGATAAGCTAATAAAATGTGTGGTAATCGTGATTATGAATATTTAATCCACAGAGAACTGGAAATATCTGCAATAGTCTAGGGTCGAAAATACATGCTTTATGAGAACGAGATGAAACACGTGAGTGAGAGATTGAAGAGAAAAAATCTAATATATAAGATAAAATACAGTTCGTTATTACACTGGACATTAAAGTTTGCATTAAGCTGAAATTTACTGAAAATTACCCGTACTGGAAGTTGCTATATTTATCTGAAATAACTGTGATATTAAATATTTTAGAACCAAACCCAAACTGAAATTGGAATTGAGACGTAGAGGAAGATGCTGTAAAACATGTATACAGATGGCTGGCAGATATTTACACATTGGAGCGCCCCCACTTATGGGAGACTGAAAACAGTAAAACCAAACGTTAGAACGCTTGAAACGCACCAAAGAATAAAAACATATAGACTGCAACAAAGAATCATGACATTCCCAAAAATATCATTTTCATAAATAGGGGTGAGGAGGTAGAATAGAGCCTAAAAAAATTGAAAATACATACATCCAGAAACAGCAATTTACTGTTGATGTCAGTTTGCCCCACAAACACATAGGGTCTAAGAAATATACATGTATATATATATATATAACTTGTATGAGTGTGAAGATATCCTAATTGGTGAACTACATCAATAATCCGTGGGTCCCGAGCTACGTGTAGCCCTTTGACTGTACACATTGTACTGTCCTTTTTTTAAAAAAAAGCTTACCTTGCACGCGCCTGAATAACTTTCTACATAGAAAAAAATATATATTCTTTTAAACTTTGAGAAAGAAGAACTGAATGCAAAACATGCTTTGATCAGCTTTCCTTGCTTGTCCATTTTGGTAGGTCCCAGCTGCTGGGTCACCTATAGTCTAGCGTATGACGTTGCGGATCTCCAAATTTGTATCTATTTGCTACTCCACACCCCTGATAAAAACCTCTTACTCCATGAAATGTTTCCGACCCCTGAAGTACGTGCACTATGCAAAATACGAATTTCTTTTCAAAACCCTTAACCGTACACCATTTGATGCAGAATAAAATTATATCTTTAATTAAAGAGAAAGAGTTTTTCTTTGAATCACCTACAGTAAATCAACAGTATAACGTAAAACTAACTCCCTTCAACATCCTAAATTATAACCCCTTATCGGCGCGATTCTTAATGTCAAATCAGTACTATTTATGAGTAAAGCCTTAGTCATGTTTTCTTTCTCGATTTCACAACCTTTCAGACTTCCGCACCGAAGACGTTGTCCTTCAAAGCGATTACAGAACGAAGATTTTGGACAATGGTTCTTTAGCGATTAATTCGGTGGAAAAGGCAGACGAAGGGCTTTACACCTGTGACGCTGAGAACGGTATCGGTGAAGGGATTACAGCCTCTATTCGACTTGAATTACATGGTATATTCAAATTATTCACTATGGTACGACGTAAAATTATTATTTTTACCAGTAAAGCAGATATAAGGCAATAAAATCACACCCATCAAGTAAAGGAGTAGCACGTATGTAGTGGAGAAAAAAAGTTTTAAAAAGTTTTTTAAAAACTGAAACGATACTTTCCTAAACTGTGTTATATCGTGGAGTGAAAATCGAAGATACGTCCATTATTCATAACGAAAATTATACACAACGTTTGTACCAGTTTTTATCTTAATAAAAAGATAGAGAAAGAAAAGATATCAAAACCGAATAACCTTCCGATTATCTTCAAAGTGACAGTTTGTCTACCCCAGTATTGGCCCGGCATGGCCAGGTGGTTGGGGCGCCCGACTCGCAGTCTGAGGGTCGCGGGTTCGAGTCCCCGTCACACCAAACATGCTCGCCCTTTCAGCCGTGGGGACGTTATAATATGTCGGTCAATCCCACTATTCGTTGGTAAAAGAGTAGCCCAAGATTTGGCAATGGGTGATGATGACTAGCTGCCTTCCCTCTAGTCTTACACTGCTAAATTAGGGACGGCTAGCGCAGATAGCCCTCGTGTAGCTTTGCGCGAAATTCAAAATAAACAAACTACCCCAGTATTATTGAGTTTGAATAAACTGGAGGTATGAAAAAATAACAGTTATCGTTCATTTTCTTTTCCTTCATAATTTATAAGTATTGAAAAAATATAAATATTTACCGTCTTTTTCAAAGGAAAACGTTTTTTTAAAAGATATTTGGAAAGAATCTACTATATAGAAACGAAAGAAAATGGTACATTTTCGTCTTCTCTGGCGAAAGTTTTTGCTTCATCGAGTTTCCATTGGAATTTTCATTTGCTTAAATTATTATTATTGTAACTACTTAATATGAAGTTCGTGCAAAAATATTCATCAGATCCAAAAGTATATTTTTACTTGATAAAGCATAAATATGTAAGTTAGAGTAGACTTTGATCAGGACAGGGTCCGAAATTCGCGTTGTTTGATCGACCTTGACCGGTTAGGAGGCTCGTTACCCAACTAGAATAGCAAAAAAGTGAAGTTTAAACATTTTTCCTATTTTACCCTGTCATAAAACGTACAATTCTATACTGTTCTCCTGAAACCATAGTTGTGTTTTCGTCTCGTGAAAGTGCCTTCTTTACTATAAGTCTCCTAGTGGCGCAGCGGTATGTCTGCGGACTTAC